TATGGGAATGGGATGGGGTGACCTCTACTCATGGAATTCCCACAGGAATGGGATAAGGGTAAGATCTGGACATGGAATTCCCAGTAAAATGGGACGGTGGAGAGATCTACCCCTGGAATTCCCACTGGAAATGGATGGGGTGCGATCTGCCCATGGAATTCGGATTAGAATGGGATGGGGTTGAAATCAGCCCATGGAATTTCATGGAAAGGGGACAGGGGTGAGATCTGCCCCACAAATTCCCACTGGAATGGGATGGTGGTAAAATCTGCCCCTGGAATTCCCACTGGAATGGGATGGGTGAGAACTGCCCATCGAATTCCCACTGGAATGGGACGGGTTAAAATCTGCCCATGGAATTCCATGGGAATGGGACAGGGGTGAGATCTGCCCACGGATTTCCCACTTGAATGGGATGGGGGTGAGACCTGCCCATGGAATTCCTGATGGAATAGGATGGGGGTGAGATCTGGACATGGAATTCCCAGTAAAACGAGATGGGGGAGACATCTGCCCATGGAATTCCCACTGGAATGGGATGGGGGTGAGATCTGTCCCTGGAATTCGGATTGGAATGGGATGGTGGTAAAATCTGCCCCTGGAATTCCATAAGAATGGGACAGGGGTGAGATTCACCCATGGAATTCCCACTGGAATGGGATGGGGGTGAGACCTGCCCATGGAATTCCCACTGGAATGGGATGGAGGAGAGATCTTCCCATGGAATTCCTACTGGAATGGGATGGGCATGACATAAAACCTTGGAATTCCCACTGGAATGGGATGGGGGTGTGATGTGGACATGGAATTCCCAGTAAAATGAGATGGAGGAGACATGTGCCCATGGAATTCGCACTGGAAATTGATGTAGCTGAGAACTGCCCATGGAATTCAGATTGGAATGGGATGGGGTTAAAATCTGCCCATGGAATTCCATGGGAATGGGACAGGGGTGAGATTTGCCCATTGATCTCCCACTTAAATGGGATGGGGGTGAGACCTGTCCATAGAATTCCCACTGGAATGGTATGGGGGTGAGACCTGACCATGGAATTCCCACTGGAATGGAACGGGAGTGAGATCTGCCCCTGGAATTCCCATGTTCCCAAATCCTCCATTCCCATATCCCACATTCCCACAGGAATTCTGCTCCCACCTTTGCGGTCCAGCTCCTTCTGCCCATATCCGACGTATTTCTGGAGCCATTCTGGGCAGACGCCCCCCAGGTAATTTGTCAAACTCTCAGCCTCGTTCTCATGTTCCCAGCGCCTCCTGGTGATCTCAGCAGCGCTGTCAGCAGCCACGAATCTCCCGGATCCCAGGTCAAAGGAGATGAAATCCCGCCCATCGTAGCCATCCTGGTAGGATCCACGGATGCTCCCGTCAGACAGGAGGTCACAGCCGTAAACTACCAACAATATGTGGAGACCTGGGGGGATTGTGCCCACAGAGACCCATGGAATAGTGTCCCAGCCACACAGAGCCCCAGAGTCTGATGGAGACCCACAGAGCCTCATCCCAGCCCCATGGATCCACATCCCAACCCATGGATCCCAACCCCACAGATCCCATCCCAACCCCATGGATCCATATCCCAAACACATGGATCCCCATTCACACCCATGGGTCACAAGATATCCCATACCAGCCTAATGGATCCCCATCTCAGCACCTTTGGTGCCCTCTGAATCCACATTCAAGCCCTATCGATCCTCACCTCAGTCCCACGGATCCCTATCCCAACCCACAGATCTATCCCAGCCCCACAGATCCCATCCCAGCCCCACAGATCCTCCCACTCACCCCTGCTCTGGTTGTACCGCTCCCGCAGTGTCTCCAGGTCCCCGGTATCCACGTGCTGGTGCTGCACACAGATCTGGGTCCCCCATCCCAATATCCCGGCTCGACTCCATCCTTTATCCACTGTGTCAGCGGCTCCACCTGGCCCCGCTCACTGTCACAGCGTGTGAAGGGGATCCCATCCAGGTACCCCCTGGACATGTACTGGGGGATCCCTCGACTGGGCTCCGACACAGCCACGTGCAGGTAACGCAGGGAGTGGAGAACTGGGAGGACACGGAGATTTGGGGGGGTTGAGTGGGTCATGGATCAATGAAAGAGGAACTGGGAGAGATGGGGAGGGAGTGCATGGGGACCCAGTGTCCAGGAACGTGCACTCAGGGGACTCCCAACGTCGAATAAAGGGGGATACAAGGACTGGGAGAGGTGGGATGGGGGTTCCAGGGGATCCCTGTGCCGAGGAAAGGGGGTCCAGGGGCCTCCAGTGACAAGGGAAGGGGGTCACAAGGTGGGGTGACCTGGGATGGCTGGAATGGGGGGCTCAGGGATCCTTGATGAAGAGGGAAAGCGGGGCTGGGCCTGAGAAAAGTAGGAATAGGGGTCCAGGAGGTCTCAGGGTCAAGGAAAAGGGGAGTCTGGGGCTGGAGAGGGTGGGATAGATGGGGAGTGTAGTGGGGATTGGTAGTGGATAAGGAAGTGCAGGGTGCACCAGTGCCCAGGACTGGAAATTCAGGGGGGTCTCAGAGCCCAGAATCCCCCCTGGGACTCTCCACGACCCTCCAGGGACCTTCCTGGAGCCCCCGGGACCCCCTGCAGGAGGAGCAGGGGATGAAGAACTAGGGGGTGCAGAGATTGGGGGGGCAGGAAGCAGAACGGGGAGAGCCAGGAGAGCTGGGAAGGGTCCAAGGTTCAAGGAAAGGTCTGGGAGAGGAGGGATGGGGGATCCAGGGGGTCCCTGTACCCAGGAAAGTGGTCCAGAGGTCCCCGGTGTTGAGGGAAAGGGGCGTCTGGGAGCCGGGAAAGACAGGAATGGGGGGCCAGGGGGTCCCTGGGTCATGGGAAAGGGGGGTCTGGGACTGGGAGGGGCGAGCGGATCCCGAAGGCTCAGCCTGGGAGATGAGAAAGAGACCGAGGGAGAGCGGTGGGGGAGGGGACGAGAGAAAGGGGGAATTCCAGGAAGTTCATCTGGATCCCATTGGATCCCCGATGCGACCCTCCTGAGATCCCTGGGACACCGGGGACCCTCTTGGACTCCGTTTCGGGAAGCGGCGGGAGTGGAAAACGGGGAGGACACGGAAAGTTGGGAGATCCGGGGGGTCCAAAAGTCAAGGAAAAGAGCGGGAATGGGGTCTGGGAAAAGCGGGATGCCGGAAAAGGAGATGCAGGGGGGTCCCAGGCCCGGAAATGGAGATTGAGGGATGTCCCAGTGCCCAGGAATGGGGGTCAGAAGGGCTCCCATGCTGCGATTCAGGGTTTCAAAGAATCCTGATCCCCAGGAATGAGGATTCAGGGGGTTGCCGGGGCCAGATAAGGGGGTCCAAGGGGGTCCCGGTGCTGGGGAAGGGTATGGGGGTCACAGGACCCAAACAGGGGATTCAGGGGAGTCTCCCTACCCGGGAATGAAAGTTTAGGGGGTTCCCGGTGCCCAGGAATGGGGGTTCAGGGGGGTTCCCGATCCGCGATTCGGGGTTCAAAGGGATCCTGATCCCCAGGAATGAGGGTTTAAGGGGGTCCCGGTGGCAGATGAGGGGGTCCAGGGGTGTCCCGGTGCCCGGAAATTGGTGCTCAAGAGGGTATCCATGTCCAGAAATGGGGGTACAGGGGGGTCTCGGTGCTGGGGAGGGGGATAAATGGGGGTCACAGGACCCAAACTGCGGATTCCAGGCGTTCCCCTACCCGGGAATGAAGGTTTAGGGGGTTCCTGGTGCCCGGAAACGGACGTTCAGGGGGGTTGCGATTTCAAGAGTCCCACTCACGTTTCGTCGCGCGCCCCGGGCCCCCCAAGAGCCCCAGGAGCCCCAAGAGCAGCCCCAGCGTTGGAGCCATGGCGCTGCTCCGCTTCGAGCCCGCCTGGCCCCGCCCCAATCACTGGCCCCGCCCCCATCACTGACCCCGCCCCCAGAGCCGCCGCCGGCCACGCCATTGGCGCCGATATTTCCTTTTCGCCAATGGCAGCCCGATATCTCAGTGACGTCACCAGTCGCCGGATAGATCTCAGTCTCTCAGGTTGGGGCGCGGAAGCGAAAGAAACCGAGGAGCGCGCGCGGGGGGAGGGAACGTCGGAATTCCACAGAATTCCTCTGGATCCCTCTGGATCCCCGCTGCGATCCCCCGGAGCCCTCTGAGAACCACCTGGGACCCCCTTAAGAAAATGCCGGGTAAGCCGTTTCGGATCCTTGTTATTAAAAATGTATAAATTGAGACCCAAAGCAAAATTCGATTAAATGATCTGCTGTTACTGTCAGAGACAAAAAATAATTTATTGGGGAAGGATTAAATAATAGCATTGGATTTGAAAATTGAAGTATCCCGAGGGCAACTTAAAATTTATGCCTTAACGAAAAGGATGAGGAGCAAATATGTCCTGAGGTGTGGTACACCCCTGGGGAAAAAGGGAAGTTAAAAATGAAACCTATCAAAGTGAAAATCACTGATCCTGATTTGCCAATCCGAGTTCGTCAATATCCAATATCATTAGAAGGGAGCCCGGACCTTAAGCCTGTCGCAGAAAACCTTTTGCCACAAGAGGCTTCAGAACCATGTATGTCCCCACATAATACTCCTATTCTGCCTGTCAGAAAGACAGACGGGAATTACAGATGGGTACAGGATTTGAGAGCTATAAATCAGCGAACTGTCATCAAATTTCCTGTAGTAGCAAAACTTTACACACTCTTAAGCCAGCTGTCCCCTGACTACACTTGGTATAGTGTAATAGATCTAAAAGATGCCTTCTGGGCATGCCCATTAGAGGAAAGTAGCAGAGATTGCTTTGCCTTTGAATGGGAATATCCTGATAAGGGCAGGAGACAACAACTGCGTTGGACACTATTGCCTCAGGGCTCTACCAATGTCTTTGGGCAGCCCTAGAAGAATTAATGCAATCTTTTGAGCTACCAGAAGAGGTGAAATGGTTACAATATGTAGTTGATCTATTAATAGCAGAAAAAGATGAGAAATGGGCCTATATGACTTCTAAACTTTTTAGGACAACAGGGTTTGAAGGTATCCAAAGCTAAATTAGAATTCACAGAACTAGAAGTAGAATAATTAGGACATTGGCTAAGTAAAGGGAAAAA